AGAGTCTCACTTTGTCACCCTCAGTAGAGTGCCATGGCATCACAGCTCACAGCAACCTCCAGCTCTTGGGCTTAGGTGATTCTCTTGCCTCAGCCTCCTGAGTAACTGGGACTACGGGCACCTGCCACAACGCCCGGCTATTTTTGTTGCTGTTTGGCCAGGTCCAGGTTTGAACCTGCCACCCTCAGTGTATGGGGCCAGTGCCCTACTCACTTAGCAACAGGCACTGCCCTGTAATGTAATTTTTTGTATCCTCAATTAACCTGAAACAATAAAAAAGAAAGGTTCCCAGAGGTATCAAAGATCTTCAGCACACACCCTGGGTGAAGGGCTCAACAATTTGAACTTTATCTTAGAATTGAAAACAATGTAATCTAAACATTTGTACCCTGATATTAATCCAAAACTTTTTAAAAAGAAGAAAATTTTAAACTCTTTTTTCCTAGATTTAATATATAGTTTAGGTCCAGCCAAATCTCTTTCATTGTTTTTGACCTATAATGTTAATACTATGCTTCATTAATGAAGAAAAATATTTATTTCTTTTATAGATAGAAACCAGTTTATTAGACCAAGCTTAGTGACTCACACCTGTAATCCCAGTACTCTGGGAGGCCGAGGTAGGTGGATTGCCTGAGCTCAAAGGTTCCAGACCAGCCTGAGCAAGAGCAAGACCCCTGTCTCTAAAAAATAGCTGGGGCTCAGCGCCTGTTACAGCATCAGCCACATACACCATGACTGGTGGGTTTGAACCCAGCCCAGGCCAGCTAAAGAACAATGACAACTACAAAAAAATAGCCGTGCATTGTGGCAGACACCTGTAGTCCCAGCTACTTGAGAGGCTGAGACCAGAGAATCTCTTAGTGCCCAAGTGTTTGAGGTTGCTGTGACCTGTGATCTATATTGAGGGTGACATAGTGAGACTGTCTTAAAAAATAATAATGATAACATAAATAAAAAATAGCTGCGTGTTGGGCAGCGCCTGTGGCTCAGTGAGTAGGGCATTTTTTTTGTATTATTTTTTCTCATTACATTCCTGCTATAATATATAAGAACCCTATTTCTATTTTCTTATTTTTTTGAGACAGAGCCTCAAGCTGTACCCCTGGGTAGAGTGCTATGGCATCACAGCTCACAGCAACCTCCAACTCCTGGGCTCAAGCGATTATCCTGCCTCCACCTCCCAAGTAGCTGGGAC